GCTGCTGGAATTGAACCACAACACTAAACTAAGAGGTCATCCTCTGAAACTGACAATTCAGTATAGCCGGCTTGAATGCCGTAGAAATTTCTTTTTCCTCCGAGTGTCCCAGCGTTGGAACGCCCTCCCTAATTATGTCATCTCTGCTCTCCATCTGGCAATATATAAAAAACGTGTTGACGATGCATTGTCTCACTTACATTTCATTTTATGACTTGTTAGCCAGGGGCTACAAAACACAATCAAACGGTGTCTTTCCAAAAGCCTAACCAATGGATTTATGGATTTATACGTTTGATACGCGAACATCTCCGCTATTCCACATAAGTCTATGGTGAGTCCACCACAACGCTTTTCACTTTATTATGCAATTGATTTTCGCAATAATTTCCATCCCACGGGACTTGTTAAGCAATACATTTTTACCCGTAATAAACCATTGTCCATTGTTCCATCACCCACTTCACACAATAGTCGGAGTGGCACTGAGCATTGAAGAAGCAGCCAAATTCCTACGGATGCAATACGCACCGACCATCATATTTTCCTAGCCCCATTTTTATTTTTTTTATCTATTAGTTGGCCACAAGGAATAAATGACGTGACACAGTTTCAGGACACTAACCGGGCATGCACTAGATCACGATCCACTCAGTTCGCACTCCATGACACATTTATACTGCACAATCCACAGCAGTTGACGGAGCCGATTCACCATCGCCGCGTGGGAAGCTATGGTGCGGACGTGGTCTTAACTACAGCCAGACAGTGAAGACTGCCACCAGGGTTGAATCTGTTTAGAGAAGTGGAGTGTGAAGAACCTCAGTGACGGACCGGCGAATTGGATACATGTGATCTATAAAGTAACCATGCTCTATCTCTATTACACTTCGATATAACAGGCTTGGTTTGGCTGGTTTGGCAGCGCATAGAGCAGAGACGAAGGCAACGTCACACCGGTGGCGAGAGCTGTTTCAATCGAACCTAGAAATGGCGGTCAGCTTCGAACAACCGTAGGTACTTTTGCAGTCGCAGCTGCATACGCAGTTCTAAAAATCACAGGGGCAGCTGATCAAACCGATATCACAAATTTAAACATCCAAATAGAATGGGAAACGGAACTGAAGCTGACATTACACGAAAGTGCATCAGAATGCTAGAGGCTGCTCAGCTTGAAAGCTGGTACTGATGTGGTTGCAAATTCGGAATCCATGGAAGATTAAAAATTCTGCCACACTGCCATTTCCAAAGTTGATGGGTCCATCAGACGAAAATTTGGAACGGTAAAGCTAATTGGCATTCAAGTAAAGTTGCAGCTGGATACCGCTTCAGATACAGCCCTGATCACCCGTGGTATGTGGTGCACACTCTGGCGTCATTCACTGATACAAACGTGTCAAACAGTACAGAATGCTTCAGGAGGTATGTTAAAGTTGCTTAGTCAATTTAACTGTCAAGTCAGATTTATTAGTCAAAATATCCGCACGTCATGTTTCGTGACAGACAAGCCGGGGTTATAACTAATGGGACATGACTGAATGGAGGAGTTTAAATTGCTTGAGCAGTGGACAAACACTGTAGGTCAGTCACCGCACGTCAACTAACTGTCGCAAGCAACAATGTCAAATCCGACATCACAGAGACAGATTGCGCGGATGAGAAGACGCCACGAAACAATGCTCTAATCTGGTCCAAAATGATACAGGATGGCCAGTGCTTCCATTAACCTCAAGTTAGTCACTAGACCAGTATACAGAGTTGAGCGCCTTGTGTCAAGCAGGAAAGAAAAGCATTATAATTGTCTTGCGAAGGAAAATCGGACACACAAGGTCCGTCATTTCAAAATTGAAGACAAGGTGTGCGCGGGAGACTGCGGAGGACAGAGGATGTAGTCGACAGGAAGGGTGATGCGCAAAACTGGTTGAGCCATCTAAGAGCTAATGGTGGGAAATGCGAAATGCGCTATCAGCTATTTGCATAAGTTCTGCTTAACAACACTTCCACTTATCCTCGATCTCCGTTCTGGAGGTTGCCTAGAGCGCGGTGGTTCTGTATAAATTCCTAGTACACATACATCAGTGGCTTTCAATCGTTCTTGTTCTGTTTTGGCGTTGACATGGTCTGTTGCTGACCCGGTGCCGCTTGGTATTATTGGTACGTCTATACTACTGACAATTGGTGCAGTAGTGCTTGCTTTCGGCCCAGCACTTGCCAGGGTGAGTATACACGATTGACTGATTCTGCTCAACCATGTGCGACCGTCGCTTAAAAATAGGGATGTGCGTCAGCCCCGGACTCGAGTTTCCAGAAGTCAGAGCAAATAAGCCTGAGACCCAGTTTGCAATACCCTAATGTAAGGAGGCAAATCTTAACAAAGCCAGCTCATTTCAGCTAGTTGAGTAGATACTATTTGTCCCATCCTGCTTCGCCTCGGTCACATAGGCACGTTTGTACTCACGCATTTACGCAACCACAACTTACTAGCACCTTGATTTAGTTCGTAATAAGAAATACAATCGGAAACTTTGCTGAATTCCCTCTATGCAGTGATTATGCAAATCATTCATGGAATTTTGTCTTCTAAAATATAAAGCCTCATAAATCCGAACTGATAGACAAGTCCCTTAGGAGCCGTAAAACCTTCCACAGCACTAGACGAATGCGACATGATGAAATTCACATTGGTTCAAAAGTTTTATCTAGACAGGTACCGCGTTGACCAACGGGATATTTTTCAACTCGGTTGCTATCTTCCACTAACGTTACCTACTAAGGCTGGCAGCGAGTGCTTATAATGTTTAACCTTCTACATTACAAAATTCGTAGCAGCAAATTTCAAGACATTACATGTATGCAGATTCACCAACACAACATTTGTTAATTTCAAATTTTAATACATACCACGTAATGCATTATTTCAAGGTGACCGTCAATGCTACCAGATTATAAATCACAATCCAGAAGCTTAACTTGTGATAACTTAAGCCAACACGGCTTATAATCATTTATTTGTTTCGCGCATCCTGGTCGCTCAATGGCCAATGTATTATCCGGTATATACATGGCTTTCAGATGAGTTATGTTTACCTATGAAGTCTAGATGCGGCAAAAAATATTGTCCATGGGGCTCCCTATTTTAGCAACTATTATCAGATTATCTGTACAATATCATCTCGTTAAGTAATTCAAAGTGTACCTTCGAACCACCAGCTCTGGAGAATCAAATCGAAATAGTATAATGCAGTGAATTCAGTTCAGTACAAGCGCTTCAAAATAGTCTCCCCCCATTTTAGTGGACGCCAAGAGAAGACTTAACTACAGGTTGGATGTATATGTAAATCAAGAACTGCAGGTATAAAAGTATACATTTTATCATCTGTATCGGACTAAATTCAGTTGAGAAGCATGATCAGGTGTGATAAGTAATTGCTATAAACCTTTGTACTCTGGTTCTCAAGTATTATGAAAATGTTATCCGTGATGACACAACAAGTTTCGCAACAGAAACAGGTGCGGGAGAAACCCAGAAATTTCGTACCCGGATTTACATTTTATCAGTTTCTGCTACAGAACCGCGAACGCGTACACACTGAAAATATCGCCTCAAACGGCGACGAAGTATTTTAAACCAAATTATATTGCTTACGAAAAACTGCACTAACTGAACTCATGGGCTATTTTGCAACTTTCTTCTATTTGGTATTCTGGGTTCACCCCGTCATCATCCAGTGAACATTTCTGGTGCTTACAAGTTTCCCCAGAATGAAATACCTTTCCGAACCCGGGAGTCATCTCGCTTGGTAATTAAACTCGATCAATCATTTGATTAGGATTTCGTCGGGAAAAACTGACCATTTACAGGAAAATATGTAATAAACCTGTGCGATGTTTTCCTCAATATGTTCGGTTTTGTGAATATTGTCGCAGGTGGAGTTAGGCAGACAGGCACCAGACATCCAGGAAAGTGTTGGACGGCTGTTTCGTCCTATTGATACTCGTCGGTAGCACGCGACTAATCAAAACCAGCTACATCACCCTACTACTTATTGACATTTCGGTGCCGCATTCTTAGATTCAAGAGGCTGCGAAGCTTAATCTCAATAAGGTCCGAGATTTGCATTAAAGTGACTCTTGGTCATGTTGTTTCCTGGGACCGTACTTGATGAAGCTGGCAGGTTTCGGGTGCTTTCCGCGGGAGAAAAGGCAATCCAAGGTCAATATCAATGTGATCTTAATACCGGTGCCGATGAGATCACATGTACGTACGCTGGTGGCGGTTCAAATAGTTGATGTGAACCAAATTGCAATTGGTCGGGTTAATGTTTGGTGTTTTTTGCACACACATACTCTAGTCGCTCCTCTTGTTCTGGTTACTTGAAACCTGACTCTAAGAGCGAATATTACACATTTTACGTACTTTTTATTTCTCCACCCGAAATTAAACCGTCTACAAATGGTAATGTGCATTCAAGTCATCCCGGTCTAGTAGCTAGCGGTGTGCTTCCTTTCAGTAGAATTTTAGCCCGAGGGCAATACACGCAAAATGACGTCCAATAACAGGAGAAAAATTAAATCTCCCACAACGTGGATCCTATTAAATAACACACCACACCTTCTGGAAAATTCTAATAATTTGTTTTGTATCTGAATTCTGCTGAATCCAGAAAGCGCTACATCGATGTCAGTGCTATAGACATCACATTGTAACTGACATCCATTTGCTACTTGAATGGGGTATTTCGTGTGCAGTCATTTAGTTTGTTGGTTTCTTCCCACTTATAGTGGACTACGTGGATGAATCATTAGGTGGTGCAGGCACCAATTGTCGCACTGCAGGTGAAAGTCGCCTGTGGCTGTTCTATAAATGCTGCGTTGACTGGCGAATCCGGAACCGTACGCCACCAACTATGGTGGGTATCCCGAAGTTAACAAAAGATCTACACGATAGTGACGGCAGTATACACGGAGAAATAAAAATGACAAATTTTATGAATACTTACCAATGCTTCTGATAAAGTTGTTTTGTCATGCGAAGGCAGATGTTCTTCCATGGCCAGAACAATGCAGTTGGCCAAAATGGTTAACAATACCATATACTCGAAAGGCGTGTAGGGATGGTCAAGGATATAGCATGTTAAAGGAGTCAACCAATAACATACAAAAATCAACACGTTTTGATAAATAAAACCCATCAACTTAAGGATCTATTATGTTGCGGACAGGAAGAATCTTGTCTTGTTTGCATATCCCACCACTTTACAAAATGCACGCGAGAGATTGCAAGCCTACTTTAACTATTATACGTACTTTTAGGCGTTAGCTATCTAAGTGACTTACGGCAAACATTAAGAACGAAGTTAACACCTAACAAGCCGAATATTGTAATTGCAAGAAAGCACAGGGTTTAAAGGCCGTGAAATGATTAATGGTAGGATGTTAGCATCACACACTCGAGCGAAACCTTAGCATAGTTTCCGTATAAGCCTTTGTTCTTATAACGCCAAAAACTCTCTCGGAAACACAGGTAAAACGGAACCTAATCGAACTTCAAATTGGCCGCCTCTTCGGAACCAAGAGTCTATTGCAGCTTTCAGCAACCGCTGGACGTTGAAGTTGCATCAAGAACAAACCCAGAAACCGTTATATGGAATTACCGGTTAGCGTTATCGACATCTACTGATGTTCCTCTTCTAATTGTGCCTTTCAAGTTGCTCAGGAGAACTAACTGTTTCAAAACAGATAAAGTTTAGAATCCAAATGGTAAGCGACTCGAATAAATTGCCTGAGTGACTGTGCAACTTGTGAAACGCGAATACAGTTGTTCATTGGCAATTCATTGATCAGTGTGGCCTGTTAATAAAGCGAAACAAAATCAAACCGATTGATAAGGATATGTAGGCGAACGTTCGCTAAAAACAATGAAACAGTGGATTTATAATAACAAAATACGAACCAATAATTCCTGTGATTGGATTATGAATTGAAACCAAACTTCGGACTTTTCAAAAATAAGTTACGCGTGGGGTCGTGCATACATGTGCAGACCGTATATTTGCGTTATGTGACAGCATTAAATCCTGAATCGTATCCTATACTGTAAGTAAAGAGGTGCAGTATCGCGTTATTTATCAAATCCAGCTGATATCGAAGCCGAAATAAAGTATGGTATGCCTGTAAGGCGAAAACGTTTCAGTGGTATTACTACGAGGTATTTCGTACGATAAAGCCTACTTGGTGGTCTCTCAGTAGTACGGTTATTGTGTTTAATAACGACATATCTTTGATGTTCTCCGTAGGATCTGGTCTTCCGTTAGATACTAGTAGGTTCACTCTAAGCTGGTATGGGGGATGGAATGCTGAGCATTGTGAAACTTCGGCTTGTCAGGTCTGTCTGAACTAGATGGGGTGTTGCATGTAAAACCCGACGTCAAATTAGCGTATTTGTGCTTTAGAGTGTTAGGGAACTATTCATGATATAACAAAACCGGTTAAGGTATTGCATGGCCCCCTTTACCGCATTTTTGACTTGTATTGTGCAGCCTAAATCGAACTCTGTAATTGCTGTGTGTTAATATGTACGCGATGTGTGCCAAAAATGACGTGACTCCAGGCGATACTCTAATTTCTATGATGGCTCAGGGCTTTACAGTTGTCATAAGCGAAGTCTGTGAGTCAGAGCATTACACAAACCTTTGGGTACGGCCCAAAGAAGAATGCTATATAGTATGGAGCTCACTGGATTAGAGAGCGAAGATTGTTTAGGAGAGGGATTTGTGTTTGAAAAGCCATGGCTTGTAATTTATTGATTACACGGACTGCATTGTACTACAATAGCTAGTTTTCATTTACACATTTTGGCGGGCCAAACTTGTTTCCACACCCGTATAAAATTCCATGAGATGCAACCCAGTTAGACACAATAGTTGCAAAACGAGTACCGGGAATGGTATGCAGAATTTTATCATTCGGTCCGCTGCGTTGGTGAATCAAGTTGTGATGATTCAATACCGACACCGAAGCAAAAGTCCAGTTCAGTAAACTGCTCAGGCGCAGGCTACGGTGCAGACTGGAGAAGATGGGTGGCTCTTCGTGCACTTGGTTTACAAGCTTTTAACAAAGCAAAAACGAAGGCATTTCTGTGGAACAATCCGAATGCAATATAGTTCGTGTAGCCTCTTCAGCCGCTTACCCATAATCATAAAAATTTCAAATGGTCGATAATAATAGGTCAGTACCAGGGATCGATGCTTAGTTCCGTGGTCTAGCCTGTCTTAGCAAGATAAAGCAAAATCGGTCACAAAGTCAATTGGTTCGTATAGGTTAAGCTTCAAACGCCGGGTGCCGGTAGTCTCAACAAAACGCAGCAACCTGGGATTGCTCGTCTGTTTATGACCTTGAAGGCTTCGCGTGGATACTGGCACATCGAGCAGTCAGATAAGTGCCGGGCAATGAAGCTGACAGATAATACTGCTCCACTGAGGGCAAGATTCCGCGGAACGTTTTCTGAAAGCCTAGTGGACAACCTCCTCTCTCCCCGGCCAATGTACATACTACCGCAAGTACAGTTGAAATAATAAACACATGAAGCGATAACAGTAGCGTAGGTCCTTTCCAAATTGGATTCATGCAGTAGCTTTTTGGTTCCGTAGAGCAACACATGCTTAGCTGTAGGCTAACCGCTCTTTGTGACATGACATAAGTGATAGCAGAAACCCCTATCATTTTCTTCCCCTTTGTAAGGCAGTGCAATGAATCTCTTCTTCATTGAATCTTCCGTTCGTGCTGCTTGGTTTTCTCCATGGACCTAGCGATAAAATTGTCATGGTACCAAATTTTACTTAGGGTGGATGTGATACCCTGTAGTACTTCTTCACTCGTTTCCTCTGAATAGACACGTCGCAGTCTCACAAAAGCTGCACGAACCATGGAGTTTAAAAGTCTTGTTGCTATATCTGCGAGTGAAGTTATGTTGCAGTTCTAAAATACACATAATGGTGCATCGCTTCCGGCTTATGTGAATTCGAAAGACCAGCAAGTTATGTTCCAGTCGTCATCAGCAAAAGGGTTCGAGGTGGAGACGTTGAAAACTCTCTTGATAACCACTGGGGAACGTATCACTGAACCTACGTTGAATTAAGTACCGTTGTGTTTCCATGACTATTCTCTCATCTATACGCACGTTAAACTAAATGATGTTGCATTCATTATCTATGGATGATAAGCGTAAAGTGTTCGTGTAGAGTAAACGAATTTTACAGCTTATGTTATTCGTGGACTGTTTAACCAGTACCGTTCATATTCGGCCTGAACTCTGATGTTGAGTTTGCAAAAATAATATACCCCAATATAATAATTGCACAGTTTTACCCAGATGCGTATCTGACTTTGGCGAGTTAAGTTCACCTATAACTATAACTATAACTGCCCTGAGTTCAGCCTAGATTCAGGTAGTTCGGGTGGGCGGAGCAGCGTATACGGGGACCGGAACATCCGGGTCAATCGCACCAGACCGTTGTCAACGCCCGTATAGTTGTCTTCGGAATTCAACTCAAGTAGCACGTGGGCGCTTTCCTGTCATGTAGCCGCACTTGTGCCCTACATATAAAGTTTGAGAGTATAGAAATTACTATAATACCCGTTGTTATATTGTACATTTGTGTGCGATATATGAAGCAACCTGGAAGTTAAGTAAGTAGTAAAAACAGTTTCTGAACGAAGTTAAAGGTATGAAAATATTCCGACTGACCTAGGCGATTCACTTTCTAGCCGATGTCTACGTTTCGTACTCCAAGCAGACACAATTCGTTTCAGTTGTAGCGCTGAAGCAGTTTTTACACAAATTTTCGGCAGTGGAGTCTGATCTCCTTTTTGCTTTCTTGTGTTTCAGATTATTACAAAGACTTGCATTTGTTGCGTTCATGCATCATTCGAAAATAAGAATACAATGTAAGCATTGTTTGCTTAACCTTTTAGGTTGTGATGTCCCGGTAGTACAACCACCATCATCGCCTCCCTTAGCCCCTAGCTTCACAACAGATTGTCTACAGCACAAGGGCCATTGGAACTATTTTGGTTAGAGAGGGGAGCATGGTTCGATAAACATCACCCTCCTATCAGACTGTGTTTGTTTACTCTGAGTTCATCTTCTCTCACACATTGCTGGTTTAAAGACGACTCATGGGCACGACAGCATGTATGAGACCAACTCTGGTACACATGAACACATCGATCAATTAAAGGCGATAAACATTGAAAAAGCAACAGGCAACCAAAATCTGTTGGAAACAATGAGTTTAGTGCGCGACTTGACAAGGAAACACAGTGCTGAGTAACCAGTTGGCCACCCAATCCGTTGACAACTGTTAACAATTCGAAATGACTCGTACACATCCTACCAGTGTTTAATTATGGTTAAAGAGTAGAACCGGTATTTTGTATTTTGTAGAGTTTTCCTAGGATCCTGTCTCATTTGGACATGCACCGTATATTCCGAAAAGCACTTGATGGCCACTTCACACCTTTGGGATTCGTCTGTTGTTACCAAACGCCGGATCGCGATGGGATAGAACTCATGGCGTTAATGTCATAAACGTCGGTAGATATTAGTTAGCGATCGGTCATAGCGGTCTGCAGCGAATTTAAAAAAATCAGCGGTTAAGTTGTCTGGCTCGCAAGTGCATGAGTTCGGATCCAGGAGTATCCAGCATATACTTAAAACTGATGCTTGGGATAGATTCTTCCATGTTGTATGGAAGTAGCTGACAACTTGTTCTGTGTCACCATCAACTCCCAGTGATGTAGTAGCGACTTCCAAATACACAACGAAAATCAATCTAATCCAATGGGTCTAGTTAATGCGGTTGTATGTGAATGACAAAGTTAACATCTACGCATGAAGCTTGGTCAAGTGCTGACTGCAGAAAACGGCAGTTTTAAATTCACTTTTCAAGCGCAAATTATGTGTCCCTGAGGCAAGATTTTAGTAGTGCCAGAGAAGCCTGTAAATTAAGAGATCGCGGAGCTAACTCCAGGGTATAGCATTAACACAGCTGTGACCTCCGCGAAGCGATCAGACGCGGAAGCGACAATTATG